TACCGGTCCTATTAAACTCGAAGGTAAATATTACATTTTGAGAATCCTTTATTTTCTGTTTCCACAACGCCTCATCACGGTCAGTGTTATTCAAAAGTCTTAAGCAACCGATAAATGGAAGGAAGTCTGGTTCTTTGTTAATTGTGCATTCACCTGTTCTGCGGCTATAGTGTAGTATAAAAAGTTTGAAAGTTTGCTTCTCTCTCTTTTTCTCTTTATGTATCAACTTGATACGGCGTCCTGCGTTAGTTTGTTTTTGTTGATATTTGTTCTAGTTTTCGTAGAGTAATTTTACGGAAACGCCGACGGTTTGATGAGAAACTAAACTCGTTCATTGAAACAATAGAACATTAGAACGGTATTATCTAACCAATCAGAAGGTTCTTTACACCAGGTGTAATGTCGCTAATGAGAGTCAGCGTCGCTGCTCTCGTTTTGTGTCGGGTTTTTAAAAATGAATTTTTTAATCACAATTTTTCATTGCTTTAACGTGAACCCAGGACCTTTGTCTTTACGCACCGATGCTCAAAGCCGACGGTCCCGGGTTCGATTCCCGACGAGGGTGTGACAACAGTAACAATTTTTCTTCATTAACTTGCGATAATTTATAGTGGATTAAAATTAAAAATTAATTTTTACATTAATATTTAATACTAACCACTATTGAATTTCAAAGTGTTTCATATACTATTAATATTTACTACCATTCTAGTTTCATACTTGCAGTAGAAGTTGAATGTAGTACCTAATGTGGCCTTTAATATTTATGCATATTAACCGTAAAATTCCTAAAAGGTAATATTATTACATTAGAGGTTCAGCGGTAAAATAATAAAAAACAGTCGACCCGATGCCGTAAGTGATTACAGTTCGCGAAGCACGAAACCTTTAATTGGCTTAATTACATCGCCGCCCCTGTCTTGTCTGACTGTTGCTAAACCGGACGTTGCAAATTTTACTTTTCCATTCTTTATTTCGTAAATCACGCACCGTGTAACGTAAAATGAAAAGGAGTCAAAACAAATCGTTCACGCTCATAGAAGTTGTAACAGTAAATCGCTTTACACGCCGAGAGATGAAATACATTTTAAATGTCAAGCAAATTTTAATGTTCTACCAAATGGAGTCTTTCAAAAAAATAAATGATTTGATTAATAGGCCACTGAGCGTCTGTACTTTTTTTGCAATTTTAAATCTCCCCTCCGATTCTACTAAAGAGTTTAGGCATTACGAACTTTAACAATATTACTGAACTATTTTTACTCGGTTACTGTTACAAATGTTCATTGGAGTTTATCGTGTAGATTATTGTCGAGTATCATTACCCATTATTACAAATTAATGACGATAATAGTCATTACAAATTACTTACTGAAACTTGTAGCATGAATCATATTTATTTTACAAAAACCTTGATCTATTGTATCGCAAATGCCTTCAACATTGCTTCATTTTATTCTTTTTCTACTTCAGGCTCAAATTATCACAAGAACCTGCTCACCAATTCGTGGCAGTTTTTATTTACTGTTAGGGTTGTTTAAAATTCATCTGGGCAACGAATTAGCATTAAATTGCTTTTGTTGGTGTTGGTTACGGACACACATTGCATGGTTATTTTGTCGCATATACACTTGAAAGTATTAGGCATGATTTGAATTCGGAATCGCGAATTCGACCCAAAAGAACGAAATCCGTTTTGGAAAAAACGAAATCTGAACAAGCCTTGTTTTCTTTAAAGTATATTAACGCGACTAACTTATTTATATTATTCTATAAGAGTACAGGAGAACTGTTAGGTATGTAAAATTCTATTTTTTAATCACAAAAATAACGGATTCCAATGGATTTATGAATAATATACAGGCAAGTAATAAAAGCGGATTGCAATATTTACGCGTATGTGAAATTTTTGATCTCGTTCAGGTATTAATCAGTAAAATAGATAATATATCTAATCCTTAATTCGCAGTGAATTTGTTAAAACATATTACTTACCATGGTTATACGCATATGATTTATAAATCAATCAAATATTGCGCTTTCCAGTCATTTTACCTATTTCTTCTATTGCTAACAGTGATTAGCAGCAGATTAAACTACATACTTGGTTAATTAACACAAATTGGTGATTATATTTTAGCAGATTTTAAACAAAACATTTCGTATTTTAATAGAAAACAATTATAGAAATTAGAAAGTAATACAACAACTATGAGCAACTACTGACTACCGAATTTATTAACAAAATACATATATTTTAAGATTATTTCTTAACAGCTTTACATTTTTAAGCTGAATTTAATTATTGAATTTATTAATAAAACCACTAATAGTTGTTATGATTTATTTAATGTTATATTTTCATATAATCATAATAATTTCACATTTTACTAGAGAAGCACATCGAAAATTACATCATAATAAAAGAACAGGTAGGTACATCACAGTATTACAATACCATTTAAATGATCATACAACATTTTTGTTATGCAATTGTCAGTCATTATCATAAATAATTTCTTTCATTAAGATTGCTCTTCAGCAGATGTTTCTTCTTTATTTGCTTCGGCTAATAGCGCTGCTTCTGCAAGTGCTTTCTCTTGTAGTTCTTGTTCTGCGCTGATAATTTCAGAAACACCGTCGCAAAACTCTTTCATGAATTGAAATTCCGTTTTGCCCAAACTGAACTTATTGGAAATCTGGTAATAACAAACCCCTTTGGGGTGGTCTCCCGGTACTCGCTTGATAACTAAATTGCGCTGATCTGCGATGCTTTTAAAAATGTTTTTTTGGCGTGGCAAATAACACACTTTAATCTGAACGGAAATATTGAGTGTCGTTCCTAAACGAGAGGGACAAAATGTTAAATAACCCAATCGTCTGTTTCTGCAAAAGTTGAGCTGTTTCGTGAGTGAACCGATCCCTTTGTACAGTCGACGGTACACGTCTCCGATGTTTCCGTTTTCTTCAATCGATATTACCCGGATGTGGTCTTTCTGGTTCACCCAAACGACGAAGTCGAGATTGTCATTGTAAAAAATCCCACGGCCGGATGGCCAATAGTTATAAACATTTCCACTCATAAGTATTGGATTGGTATTTTCGAAAAGTATATGGTCATTTCGGAATTCTTGTACTTCTTCTTCTGACAATATTTTTAAGGGACGATAAACGCCCCGTAGCTCTTCTGGTAGTGCCTTAAAAGCCCTTGCAACGATCCTTTGTATCTGTCTGTAAGAATAAGTGCAATTGATTATTTCGTATTATGGCTTTTGAAATTTTGATTAACGAATACTTTCTCACACAGAGATTGATACTTATTCAGAACGTTATTTTCCCTTTTGTTGGGCAGATTGTAATTTATAAGAATTGTCCTGGATCTTACACTATTATTTTTTACCTAAAATCGTGTTTTTCCAGCTGTGAAATAAAGGGATAGTATGATAAGTTGCGGGAAACTGAAATGCGAACACTCCTAATATATTTTTCATCTGGATCAATGTTTTCAATGGCATTTACGTCGCCCCAACGAGGATACGGGTGTAATGCGTTTGGTTGAAAACCCATGTGATAGTCCTCGATAATGGGGTTGAATATATTCGCAAAAATTTTGTAACTATCCGGTTCTGGGGCATTTATACCAATTAGAGCGTCATAGTTTTCCAATCCACTTTTGATGCATTCTAGTAAAGTGATGCCTTTATGGGTTCGTATAAATTTCAACGAATTGTACAAATCGCGATTTAAATGCTTTCTGAGCAGTGACTTCGAGTTAGATTTGAGGAGATTTTCGTACAATTTTTCCATTTTTATCAATTTTTCTGCATCGATAAGGCCTTTAACGCACCACGTGTCGCATCTGCGAGAACACCCTATCATTTTGATATCCATTTTTGTCGAAATTTATTTGCTCTGGAAATTTAGAAAAGTTAAATATAATAAATACAAATTAAAACTGTCACTCTAAATTTTGTCTAACCTATAAATTTGTACTGGGTGGTTACTTAAAGTAATGGTAAAGAGTAATAATTCACATTTAGAAAATAGGAGTTTTAATGAAGCACAAAAGCAATAACAAGACGACTTTTGTTCTTAATTTTGGTTTAATTACTGTAGCTTTAAATAAAACACAATTACAGCCATATCTTTTCAGTTCAAAACCCATGAGTAGCATTTTGGTTTTAAATCTTTACCTTTTTAATATTGTGGTGATTTCAGAGGAATAAGTCAAATTAGTAGATATAACAGGATTAGGAACTTTCATTAATATCTTCATGTGCAAGTTAGTCTCATTATTCCTACTAATTCTAAGCTTCTATAAAAAAAATATACCACTTATTGCATCCATAACTATCGTGTCATAATTCACGTTGTTGTTCCAATAGATTAAAATTGTTGTTTAAAAAAAAAATATGAAAAATTTTCTAAAAAAGCTCTTTTTTCTTTGTAAACCTAATGTACACGTTCGTCGCTGAATAGTCTCCTATTTCAAGCATTGCAAGCATTTTTGGAATTGGCTGTATCATTCGACGGTGAAATCATATTCGACATTCTTTCCACTTCTTTCTGTTTATGAATTATACAAATAACTTGTTTTTCTTGTTGTGGAACGCTTTATGGTGTCCGCGGTGGAAAGATTAATGTGAATATGTGAGGATGAATGAAGTTGTGGCGACACATAATGTTAACATACAAACAAGAAAGAAATCTTCTAAAACAGTCGCTAACTTGTATGCAATTAAAAAGGTAGACAATTATTTTTGTATCCTAGAAAATAGCATTCAACGAAAGTAGAAAGCATATATCACACCGTAATTGACGTACTACGTGTATGCAGTGGGGCAGCGGTCGGGGAACTTTTTTAATCATTACCCCAAAATATTTTTGTGTAAGTTGATATTACCCCATGGCGAAGAGCAAAAAAAAAACGAAATCGCCTCTTTTTAGCATCTTTCATATTATAGCCCCCATGATAATTTTGAAAAGAAAACAATAACTAAAAATTTAATTTAGACATCATTTATTCAATTTATCAATGTAATACCTAGTAATACATGACGGTAATAATAGTAATATAAGTAATATAAAGTTGAAGAAAAAAAAAATTCGCCCCCACAGAAAATATAAGTAAATGATAATTTCTGGCCTTCATATGTCGCTAAATTGTTTAAGTTGAAAAAAATATATACTTTTTACTCACAAAACTTTCATTTTTACCCCCAAAAATTTAATTTTTACCCCATTTGGGGTAATTTACCCCGGTTCGCCGACCGCTGCAGTAGGGTGACCAATAGAATCCAGGCACCTGTTACCTCACCGCTTTTCTCCTGTTAGCCCCCTTCACTCTAGTTTATATTTCTATGTGCACAATATGCAACATAAAACCCACCCATCCCTTTTTCAATTTAAAACAGTCTAAATTTTTTGGTTTATCGTGCTAGTAAAATGAATCAGAGTTAAAATGAAAAGGTTGTTTTGAAACATATTCTCATTTAAAATTTAACTACCTGTATATTAATGCGTTATTATCTTATAGATAGCTAATGGACGAACAGGTATACAAGTTATTTCGTATTAATGTGTGTTGGGAAAGTAGTCGGTTGGCATATTTTAAAAATGACCTACTGCATATTTGCGCGAAACCTTTGAACGATCGGCGTTTTCTAGCGTCATATTTATTACTTTACACGGCAACGGTTACCGCAAAAATCGACTTATTTAATTGAACACCGAAGTTAAGGGGTTATTACTCTCATAACTCTTTCATTAATTTAAAGCTGGAAGTTAAAAGTGAACTTCCTTGGCTTTCAAACAAATATCGTTTGTAAGCGTCTCTGTATACATACACACACATGTGTTGACTTGTTGAAGATTGACCCGTAAATTTCGAATAAATTGTCACGTTTAATTCCACTTTTTTTTACGAAAAAAGTGCTGCTTCTAAAATTGGCTAAATAGTCGTTCAGGCGGTTTTTAATAAAGCGAAAAGTTGCACTTCGTATTGTATGTTACAACTTTAGTAATGATGTGTTGATACTCAACAGTCATTACTGTCACTATTGTACTTCTGAAGATGACGTAAAATAAAAAATTGAGATGTTCTAGTATATGTAATTTAATAGACCGCAATTACGATATTTTGGATTAACCTTCATGTACCTATGGGCAAGTAGTAGATTATCTTATCTAGGTATGACTACAAACAGTGAAATTGTCATGTTATTGCAGATTCCTGAAACAAAGCTAAACATTTTGACAAATAAAATTGTAAAAGATAAAAGTTATTAAAGGCCAACGTACAGACAATATTTTCTGCGAAAATTTTAGTATAAGTATGAACTTTGTTGTTGTTACATAAAAGTATAATTTTTAATTGCATTTATTGGGTGTCCAGCAAGCAGATATTTAACTTTCTCCAGAAATATTTTTTTGCGAAATTAAATACCAAATTCACTTAAATTAATATTGTGATTGCAAAAGCTGTGTATGTAATTTGTATATGTCCTTCACACACTATCTCCAATGTAACATTTCCATGTTAGGTGGTTTCTGCTAATTAAATTATCGATTATTAGCAAAATTATACACATTTACCGGTACGATGGCAGTAAACAGGTGACCTGTGCTTCTATTTCGTATATTTATCTACCCACATGGACATACATATTTCAAAATCTTCGGCCATTTAAATAATTTTCTAACAGTATTATATAATTCTTTAACAGTGTTATCGGATATTTGATGATATTTGGGAACCGCATTTACAAGAGTATAGGCAAATTAGTTAATCTGTTACTTGGTGTAAATTTTTCTTCATTGCTAAGAGCGTTTCTAATCAAATTTCATTTAAATTACATATTAGTTGTTATGCACTTTTAGTTTACGTCTCAAATATGAATAATTGTTCAATCTAAATTTTCAATTGTGATGCTTCGAATATGATGCAGTAAATAGTGGATATTTACGTCGAAGATTCATTTTTGTTATCATTAAATATACTGACAGATAAGATAAAGTAGTCGGTAATGCGACTTGGTGCGCGTAATATATAATAATAAATATCAGTCAATATTCTAGGATTATTATTATTATTATTTGATTTTATTATTGTGAAATATGAAATCATGATTCTGACTGGAACGATAGTTTTTACAATTAGTGATACATTACAGAAATAGAGGCCTCAAGGACAACGTTTTATATGTTTCTGAATCGTTATTTATATCTTCTTTTAAACAATGATGCAAGACGCTATTTAGATTCACTGTCCAAAAGATGTCTTTGAAAACAGCGCCTATCTATTGAAATAGACGGAAAATTTTGATATGATAGAGACAGTCAAAGTTTTTATTTTATTTCTTAAAGCATTTTTAGAACATAAAAGAAAACCTGAGGTTACAGTTCTAACAATATGTTTTACATTTGTAAGATATATTGGCCGTTAGAGATACAGGTACGTTTTTTATTTTTACGTTGAATAAAGCAACATAATTCAAGAAAAAAATATGAACATGACACTGAGAATTATTCTATACTTACAATGTTTTTATTAATTTTTTTAAAAGTCACGCCTTAATAATTTGACATTGAAAGGGTATTTCTTTTCTTACAAAGGGTACCTAGAAAACACACATTCTTTGGATTGGATCGCTCACAGTTTATCATCAATTTAATTTAATGATTGCGTTAAGCCGGTCAAATTGTTCAGCATTGTCCTATTGGCTTGTTCGCATTTAAATTTAATGATATAACACAATCTGAGACGTTAACTAGGCTTTTGTGTGCTGTGGTACGTGCTGAGCGGATTTAAATAATAATAAGTAATTGATTTTGTCCATAATGAGAACAAACTAGAAAGTGAGTTAGTTTTGAATAGTCGTAAATGCTGAACAAGTACATCAGTTTCATTTCGTTGATGCATTTTATAAAGTAAAGAAATATAGGCAGACGCGACGTTTATTTACTACCTGTCATGCACATTTTTTGCATCAAAATAACCATATTCAAGAAAACACACTATTCGAAGACGTTTCTTTATTTTATTATTTCTCTTGCATAAAACTGCACAGAAAAGTTTGTAAAACTTTTTAACCGTGATAACTGTTGCGGAAAAAGCTCTTAGACAATTAAAAAATGAGAACCGTGAACACCTGGTACTTCCGCTCGAACTTTCCACCTGTTAACAACATCCGTAGATTCGTTTAAATCTTTAAAATTACATGTCATGCCAAAAGATGAGCTAATGACTCCCCCATTACAACCATGCTACAGCTATTACAGTCAATTAAAATACCTGTTGTGGTTCTCCTTGCCCAGCAGCGTAGTACTTTAAACACTTTAAAGATGTTAACATAATGCAATCTTTCATTGCACAAGAAATATAAGAGTGTTAAATTCCTGTTATTAATATATTTAGACAACACTTGCTTTTACACTTTTAGAAAGGATTGATTACTAATTGTTTTTACTCAATTTTTTTGGAATTCTGCTAGACGAGTTTAGGTAGATTAAAGTGACGGAATTTCTAGAGTACATAATCTGCTTTCTAATTTTTTAATTTTAAACAAATTGCTTCAAACAAGAAGATTTTTTTTCGTAGAGAAAATGTAACTATTCTACCGTTTCTTCACAATATGCATGTCATTTGAATATAGGTTCAATAATTCATAAAAATCCGTAAAAATGGGTTCTTTAATTAGTAATTTGTCTTTTGACTGTAGTGTGACTATTTACTAGTTACTAGCTACCTAAAGCAATTTAAATCCGAGCACAGTCGGTGTATAATGGTCGTTTACTTTCACTTTTAATATTAATTTAATGAGTAATTCGTCAATTGAAAGTTATAAGTTATCAATGGCTTCCGTCACGCAATAACCGGAAGTTACGTAAATTGGCGGAATAATTGATTAGTGTTGATACCGAATTAGTATTGGAACATGTCTATAAATGTTGATCAGTTAAATTTATTGTCATCTATTAACGCTTTTACACAATTAAAACGTGCTCGAGTGGTTGTTTTTTATTGTAATCCGTGGATGCTTTACGCAGTAAAAAAAGTTGAATTTATTTATTTAATTAGAAATTCGAAAACAATTATTAAAGGTGTAGGACTCTGTAAGAGCGTGAAACGTATACGGTGAGCGCAACGGAAAAGAAAGGGTTAAAAGTAATTAAGATGTGGTGTTAAAAATGTCATATTGAAAAGGCTAAAAATGAGGATATATATTCGAATTAATGGGAAAACGGAAGGAGTTATGAAAATTAATATGAAATAGGTGGGACTGGTTGGTAGAATAGCTTCTTGGGCTTAAAGGACTAGTTAGAGATATATTAGAAGAAGAAACAGGAGTTAAAAATACCGAATAAAAAAGGTAGAAATGAGGAGGTATTCAAAAAAATAGGTAGGAAAACGGAGGGAGTTATGAAATTTAATAAGAAATAAGCGAGACTGATTGAAATATTCACAAATTCTTTTGAGAAACAACCACTTTACATTGTTTCAACAATATTAATTTCGGGTACAGACCCCAGAATTGATCTTGGTGAATACGTAACTCTATCGAGATATTCACAAATCCCTCTGAACAATAACTACTGTACATCATTTCAAGAATATTAACTAAAATTTGTTAATAAAAATCACACAGATTCTTCTTATATCTAGAGTATAAGTAGCCAATTTTGATATTGGTTTTATTTTATTGTGTGCAGTGTTCTGTAGGATTAAGAAATTAGCAGTGTTTATAGAAATTTTATTTTATCATCAAGTTCATTAGAGCTAATTTTACGTAATCCTCAGAAGAAAAGTATCATAATAACCGACATTAAATTGTTTATGACTAAGAAAATATCTGCGTCAATATACTTGGTT